GTAAACCTGATATCGCATTACATGTCCCACACATGATAGTGCATGCTCATTCGGTAATTACTTCCCAATTAGTACATATTGTCTGCCGTCATTGTGTTCATGTATAATTGTTTTAATTGTTTTTACAAATGATTAAATATTTTGAAATCAATTCTAAATATATAATCGTTTTATATTAAATATTTAAATGTTAAATTTTTAATAAATATTCTTTTATTTATAGATGCCAACTATTTATATTTTTTATGCAGTTATCAGAAAGAATATTAGAATGTAGCAATGGCATTAAATTTAAATAAACACTATAAAATGGCTTAAACTTTTAAGCCTATTCTTCATACTAAGCCAACATAATATGTCTTATAATTTTTAATAACAAACATAGCTATTATGTTTTTTTATATATCTGAAAGCATAATTAATAAAACTAGCAATTATAAAATGGCTAATTGCAAAGAAATTCTTGAATACATGCTAGATTAGTCACATATTAATTGACTATAAAGATTTCTTTTATTAAGTATTTATTAGAAATTTACTATCAAAATTTTAACATATATTATTTTAAGGAAAGTTATTATTGTATGATAAAAATTTTGAATATTATAATTTATAAATATTACAAAAATAATATTAGAGGCTTAGAGTTATTAATAATTTGTAATTTTATTATTGTTGTTAGAATTTTTTATTTGGCTGATTAATATATTACCAATCTTGTGTATATTCAAGAATTGTTTTTTTTTTAGTATTAAGGTGAGGCCTTACTTATATCTTTATTGATTAATTTATATAAGTAATTACATATTAGCTATATAAAAACTTAATTTGTATATTAACAAATAAATATAAATTATATGCAAGAATAAAAGCTCAGACTAAAAGTTTAAACTAAAGCTTAAACTAATAATCTGTGACCTAAACCTACTAGAGTGGCCAAGACTTACCTATATTTGAAAACTTTATACAAATCTAGATGAGTCCTGGATAAGTATAAAGTTTCATAGAGGTTTTATAAAATATATAAAATGAAAAATTTTTTGTAATATAAATAAGTATAGTATTTTTAAAAGAAGTTTTTAGTATGTAAAATTAAAATTTAAAAAAAAGTTTAGAAAAGAAAAAAAAAAGAATTAAAAAAAATTCAGGTGCTTTAAAATTAGAGATTGTTTTAGAAAAAGATGAGAATAAATCAGAAGTTTTAGATATTTGGAAATTTAACAAAAAAAAAAGATTGATATTAATTGTTGGAATTTGAAGTTTTTTAGAAATATTATTTATAGCTTGTGGAAGATAAAATTGATAATATTTAGAAAAAATTGAAGAGATTAAATGAGTAGAAAATTGTGTAATATTAAAGTAAACTATAATATTAGTGAAATGATAAGGGTTTACAGAAATAATAAAAAAATTGTTGGTCATGCTTCTATAGTATACCAGGTCGAGCATGTTACCAGTGGGGGTCGAACATACAGACCTGCAGTAATGTATATTAGACTTTTTAATAACTACTATACTACAACTAGTTGAAGTTATAAAAATCGATTCTATATGTTTTTTGAAGATTTGATTTGGAAAGGATTTGCTGATTAGATTGCTTATTTTGATCTTGTGCTAGTTTGTTAGAGAATTTTTAGTTATACAATATATATTTGGTTTAAATTTAGATTTGTAAGAAGTTTTGTTAAGTTTTTTAACAAGACTAGCACTTAGGACCCGGTGTTGCTCGGGTTCTAGTTTCTAATTTTTTTCTAATTCTTAAGTTTATATACTTAAATTAGATCTTAAAACCCAGTTATTGCCCAGGTTTAAGATTTTTAATTTTTTTTTCATTCTATATATTATATTAGAGATATTATCTAGATTCTAAAATTAATTATTATTTTTTAAAAAAAATTAAATTATTTATTATATATATATATATATTAAATTATTGTTTTTTATTTTTTTTATTAAATTACATTTCTTTTCTTTTTATTAAATTATTATTGTTTATTTTTTTATATAAAATTATTGCCTTTTTTAGAAAAAATTATCATTTTTTTATTAAATTATCATATTTTTTATTTATTTATTTTATATTAAATTATTGCTTCTTTTTTTAAAAAATATTATCTTTTATTTTTTATTAAATTATTATTTTTTTATTATGTTTAGTTGTTTTTTATTAAAACATTATTTATTTCTTTTTTTATTAAGTTATCATTTTTTAAAAAAAAATTTATATTATATATTGGTTTTTTAAATTATTTATTTTAAATTAAATTATTGTTTTTAAAAATTATTATCATTATTATTAAATTATTAGTTTTCTATATTTTGGTTTTATAAATTTTTAATTTTTTCTTTTTCAAAAATTATTTAAACTTTTTAAACTTTTTTTTAATTTTTAAAATTTTTTTTCCTTTTTAAATTATTATTTCTTTTAAACTATTTTTTTAAAAATTATTTTTATTTAAAATTATTTTTAGAGAAATGATTTTTGTATATCAGTTTCATGTAACTTCACGTATATCAATTTAGGTTTGGCCAATAAAATCACAGAATTTATCAGTCACTTGAAATTTGACTTTAATATTGACCAATAAAAAAATTGATATACTCAATATTACATAAAACTGATGTATAAAAATCATTTCTTTTATTTTTATTGTTATTTTTTTTGTATAACTTATTGAATCTTCGATATTTTAAAAAAAACTTCAAAAAGACAGACAGTTAAGTATGTATCAATCAAATTTTTTCAACGGTTAACAAAAAATTGTCACTCAATTTTGATAGATTAATGGCTACAGATCTGCAAATTTTGGCCCACATTATATAATTGTTTACTAATTTCTAGCTATTATTAACTTTTGATTTTTTCATTATAAAAATAGAAATTTTAGAAAATAATCTCGCATTACAGTAAAATTGACCTAGGAACAATTTCACTTAATAAACTTTGTGGTTTTATTAGTAGAATTCTGAGTAATTCTGGCCAAATTTTTTAATCATCACTCTTAGCCAATCAAAATCGAGAATCTGCTTTAAAACTTTGTTGCTGCAGCCAAGATTATTAAAAAAGCTAGATAGGTATTGTAACTATTGTAGAAGAGAGCTTGGTACTGTCATGCCAGGTTTAATTTTGATGGTTGATGTTAGAAAGGCCTTATGATTTGGGCAGTAAACTATGGTATTTGGATATTCATAATTTATTAGGAACTTATTATATGGGAAATGTGAAATTCTATAATCTTTATTAGTATTCTCTTTTATTAAAGGGCGAGAGCAAGCACTTATATATATGTTAATTTCTTAGAACACAATCATATGATTTAGAGCATAGACATATTTGCAAGAATTAAGCTACTATACTACTAACAATTATGGAAGATAACGGTAAGTAACAACTTGAAGAATTAGACAAATACAGAAGTGAAAAGACACAGAAAATATTATAAAACCACATTCTGCGATCTAATATAAAAAAAATTCTAATTTCTAATCTAACTTTAATGTAGATTAAAATATCACACATATTGAAATTGGGTTGATTCTTCAAAGAAATCTGATTTGTGCATATCAGGAAGATCAGAATCTACTGGTACTCTTTCTTCACCAACTTCTAATAAAAATTCGGCAAATTTTTTTTGTTCAGGATCATTTTGATTTAGAACTCTCATGTTAAGTTTTAATTTCATGCTATGAACATCTTTCCAAAATTTTGAAGATTTTATGCATACATCAACAACTTGACTCCTTGAACGTCAAATAACCACAGGTAAAATTTGTCTAAAGTTATCACCAAAAATCATTATTTTTTCCCCAAAAGGTTTTTCCTTTTCCCCTGTTACAAATTTAAATAATCTGTCAATGGCTTCAAATGCATGTCTATGCAATATTGGGGCCTCATCCCACAGAATAGCTTTGGCATCTCTAATTAATTGAGCTATATCAGATTGCAATTCAATATTACAGGTTGAATCTTCAGCCAGATTTAATGGAATTTTGAATCTTGAATGAGCAGTTCTTCCACCACTCATTAATAATGCAGCAATTTCTGAAGATGCTACAGCAATTGCAATTCTATTTAAACCGTGTTCTTTTGATCTTATATAAGCCAAGATCAAATTATATACAAAGGTTTTTCCAGTTTCTTCAGGCCCATCAATAAAAAATAAATGTTTATCAAATTTACTATTAAGTGCTGCAACAATAGTATTATATATTATTTTTTGTTCAGGATTTAATCTATCTCTATCATTATTTAATGTTTCATTAAGATTATCCTAATCAAAGTTTAGTTCCTTAGTAGCAATGGTATTTTGATAATTTTTGTTCTCCAATAAAGCATAGTTTGGAGTTGGAAGTCCTGTAATATCACTAAGAGCTAATCTATTTTGAATTAAATATTTTTCAATAATAATCAATACTTTTGTAATATTTAATTCTCTATTATTACTTGTTAATTGAAAATCTTCAATTAAAAGCTCAATATATTTATCCCAAAGCTCTTTTACATTAACTGGTAAACAGTAAACTAATATAAAGGCAAATAAATATCTTAGTTATGCAGGCATTTTAAAGTTTTTTGCATCTTCAAGACAATTAAAACATTTATGGTCATTATCAACCAACCCAGCATGAAAGGCAGTTTCAAAATAAGAACTATATTCTATAGTATCTAAAGTTTTTAAATCTAGAAAAGATATAATACCACATCTTACATTTAATAAAGCTTTTAAATAAAATCTCTCTGTATCTTTTGGATTAACAAAATATATTCGAGAGATAACTTTTGCACCACCTTTTTTCTTCTTTGCCAATTATTAGTACTTCTATTCCAAGTAAAGTGTTTTGAAACATCACAATATCTTAAAGTTTCAAAAAATTCATTATTAGGATTATTAGTACAAAGTTCAAAATACCTTGTCAACTTTGTATGCTTTCCTTTTTCAAGAGCTGATGATATAGATTGAGAGGGTTGAAAGGTTACAGATTGTTTTTCAGGTAAATGAGCAGGAAGCCTTTCAACCGTATGTGACCTTTTATGTAAACCAAAATTAAATAATCTCCAAATTTCTTCAGAAGCAAAAACATATCTTGCATCCAAATAATTTCCAATTTCATTATTTGATTATGATGATTTTTTACTACAGATATTAAAACCCTATCCTGTCTCTTATAAACATATTTGTAAAGATATTTAATTGATCTAACACTTGAACATATTTCTACATTAAGATGACAATTATATTTTTGACTTAAGTATGAATTATAGGAACAATCTATCTATTGTCAATAGGAATTTTTATTCCTTTTTTATTAATTCTTCTTGTATTTTTTCTTCTTCTATATACAGGATATCCAGTTTTATTTGTTGTTGTTTCTGCAGTAAGATCTCTTGGAAAATATTTACTGCATTTTCCATTAATCATGCATGGAGAATCTGTATTAACTTCTCCACAGGGTTCATGAACTATACAATTGCTAATTATATTATATAATTTTGGTTGTGTAACTGGATCTGGTATCTCAGCAGATATAATTTGATCGTAATCTTCAGAAGTTTGTGGTTTATCTTCAGATGCCAATATAAGTAATATATGAGTATGTGGCAACCCTCTTTTTTGAAACTCAACTACATATGTATATGCAATAACTTTTTCCAATATACTGTTTACAACTAAATCATTGATTATTGTATCTAATTTTAATTTGAAAACTCTTGTTTTCAAATTTGGCCTATTGGCAGATTTTTGGTTTGGTAAAAGTTCAGATGTAATTTCAGGCCATTTTTGATTACATATTACTGTTATAAACAGATCAGGTTTTCCAAATTCTCTAACAATTGCCATAGAATCTTGGTACAATTGTTGTAAATATCTTGTAGACCCAGTAAAGCTTGATGACAAAATAATCTTTTTGCCAACTTTATCAAGATTGGCATTTTCATTAGAAATCATATCTTGCAATCCTTGATAGATTGCTGATTTTAAATCCTTTTGATTTTTGTAATACCAACTTAAATTATTTGTTTCTCACTTTACATACTGGTCCACTATATATTGTTGAAACAATTTGCCTGAAAGATGTAAAATGCTATTATTTTTGTTGTAGTTTCTAATCATAAACCTATAAGCTGCAAACTCCCTAATAATTACAGTTTTTCTTTTTTTCTTTTTTGGCTTTGGTTAAATTTTTGATAGTTCCTCTATATCACTATTATTATTATCATTACCATCATCATCATTACTATCATCATCATTACTATTATCATCTTTATTAGATAGTCTTTCTGATTCAGAGATTCCATCTTTATCAAATTCAACTTTTTTGCTTTTAGATACTAATTTTTTTTTTATTATAGGATTATAAAGATCATTATAATCTTCTGCTTGAGCTTGAATTTCTTCAGTTTCTTCTCTAGCTCTTTTTTTCCCTTTCTTTACAGAAGATCTACTTTCTAAATATTTTTATTATCTGTATCATTATTAAGCTCATCATACTTGATGAACTTCTAATAGTTGTAGATTCCAAAACACTTGTTAATCCTGTTTCACTTTGTGATTCTCTTTCTAATAAAGTATCAAAGTCAATATTAGAGATATCACTTGCTCCAGCTTCAGCTTCAGAAGTTTTGGAGGCTTTAGGGTGTTGAGCTATCATTTTTTTAAGAGCTCTTTTTTCTTTTTTCTTTTTTTTAATTTCTTTTGCATAGGCCTTCATTTTTTGTTTAGTCTAGTACAAATAATCTGGTTCATCATAATCATCATCATCATTATCTGATTCAATTTTATCTCTTTTTAATATTCTTTTATGCCAACCATATTCTCCATGTAGAAATAGCAAAGGATATGCTAAAGGATTATATGCACCATATAATTTAGATATTCTTTCTAATTCGTTATTATGTCTTACAATAAGAATATCTCTTACATGCATAGTTTCATCAGAAAAACAAATTGCAGCTATTTCCTCAGCCAATGGTGTATTATATTGTCTCATATCTTTACCATGCTTATTATGTATTAAAATATAATATAAAGAGTCTTGTAAATCCTCATTTTCTGCAAATATATAAGTGTCTACAAAAGGATTTAAATCTATTAATATATTTTGATATTTTCTATCATATCTCTGTTTAATTCTTGTTTCATTACATTATGTCTTCTATCAATTTGTGCTTCAATATTGTTAGAATTATGAAAATATATTTGGAAAAATTTTGGTATTTTCCCTTGTTCTGGCAAAGCTGAGCTAATTTGATGATAATGATCACCCTGAATTCTATAGCAATAGGCCCCCTTTTTTTTATTGGCAAAGTCTAAATCTAAATCAGTAGCAATTGATATAAAAGCAAATGCTTGATTATATTCTCTTATTTTGTCAACAAATGGTACTTTAGATATTGAATCTTTTTCTGTAAAAAAATAATAAATTTCTGGTGGTGGTGCTTGAAGTGGTGCTAATATAACTTCACCATTCATGCAACAAAGTTCTGGTTTTTCCCCTTCCATTTTAACGCCCCACAATGTTCACATTCAATATCTATTTTCCCACACTATGCTCCTATTGTTCTTTTTATCATCTCTATCATCATCGTCATCATCATCATCATCATCATCACTATCATTCCCACTATTATCTCCATCATCATCTCCATCATCATCTCTACCATTATCTTTGACCTCCTCTTGATATTCATCTAAACTACAATGTCCTATTTTATAAAATTGTTCAAATTGTTCTTGTTTTTTCTTTTCATATCTTTTTTTTGCACTTTCTCTATCTTTTTTTCTTTTTTTTTCTTTTTTTGCTTTACTCATAGAAGCTCTATATTCTCGTTGTCTATTTCTTTGACCTTCTTTTGTTTTTGTTCTTGAGTCTGATGATACTTTAGAAGCTTTAGAAGTTCTAGACCTTGTTCTTGTTGAAGGTTCTTCATCTCTTTCTTTTAATATTTAATAATGTCTAAATTTAGCTTGTCTTTATTTCTTAATATATTTTTTTTTATCAGTTTTAGATTCTTTTTCAGGGTTTTCAGATGCTGTATATGTTTTTAAAATATAATTAGGGGTAGGTCCTCTTTGTTTTGTCTCTTTATTTTTTTTTTTTCTTTCTTTTCTTTCTTTTCTTTTGGCAATTTCTTTTTCAATAAAAATAAAAATTATAATAAAATTATTAATTATTTGAATAATTTATAAATAAAACAAAACATTTATTAAATAAATAATATAAATTTTTAAAATTTTTGCTTTAATTGTAAATTTTTTACCTTCTCTTAAAATTTACATGTTTTAATACGTTTGTAAATTTAATATTAATTTATAATATTTTAATTAAAATTTTTATTAAACTTACTATTATGTTTTTAAAACCTATAACATAATAATTTATTAATTTAATTAATTTAACAAAAAATTAGTATAAAAAATTTAACAAAAATTGTGTTTTTCTATTTTTTTTAATAAAAAAAAAGATTAAAAAACATTTTTGCTGAAGGTTTGATACAAAACATATCTGTAAGTTACACAAATTTTGGTACATTATGCAAATTTTGGTACGTTATGCTGATATGTTATATTATGCCGATTTGTAATGTTATTCCGATTTATTAATAAAATTCTATTTTTAATTAATTAATTAATTAATTTTTAATTAATTAATTATTTATTTATTTTATTTTTTTAAAAACGTAATATGTTACATACTACGTATGTGGTCACGTGACTCCAATTTCGGGTCACTGACCATTTTTGCGGAAATTTAAATTCCCATAAGTCACATGACTTTGTCACTTAGTCAGAGTTTCAAACTCCGTTTTGGCAGAGTTTAAAACTCCTCCGATTTTACAGGAATGCAAAATCCGAAGTCACGTAACTTCATTGTTGCATGATCGGAGTTTAAATTTTCACTTCTCTTTTACTCTTCTTTATTCTTTCTTATTGTTGCTCTCTTTTTCTTTCTTTCCTTTTTGCTCCCTTCCACTCTCTTTCTCTATCCCACCCTACTTCCCTACTCCCACTCCTCCATCCACTTTCCCTTCACCCTCTTTCACCTCGTCTCTCACTTTCTATTTTAAATAAATTTAACTTTTTTTTGTATCTACTATTCGGCAAATCTGTGTTACTAATTAAAAAAGTAATGCTTTTGTCTGCTTCGCAAGTAAAAGCATTACTTTTTTAATTAGTGACCGAGACTTGCCAAATAGTAGAGGGTGGATGAGTCAAAGAAAAAGTTATTTGAAGAGTCATTTAAAGAGAAGTTTAAACAAAGTTTACCACCAAAGAAAGAAGTAAATTTGAACAAACTAGTTGAAATTGAAGGAGATAAGCCAGTCAACGAGTGTTTATATGAAGTTACTGGTATTGGTTCTTCTGAAAAAGAGTGATAAGTAAAGTAGTAGTAGTATTAAAGTTTAAGAAAAAGTAATGAGAAAAAAAAAAAATACTAATAAAATATTTAAATGTCTAGTCTTTGAAAATAGAATTTTGAAAAAAAGGCTTGAAATGTTAGAAATTCAATTGAGAGAGAAGGAGTTAAGTCAAGCAACAAAGAATTTGAAGAGAAATATAGAGTATAATAAGTTGTATGAGCAAAAAGTAAAGTTGGTACAAAAGATAGAGTTATTATGAATGTATTATTTTAAGAAGAGTTATGTAGTTGGTTTCAGAAATAGTAGTTATAAAGGTATAAGTGATAATAGTTATGAGGTAGAATAAGAAAGAAGTTAATTTGTTTGTTTTGTTTGTAATAAATTAGTTTGTTGATTGAAATTTAATAAAGTTTAGTATAAGAAAAGTTTAATATATAAAGTTTAAGAAGAAAAAAAGTGAAACAGGAATTTCAGGTATTTGAAAGGTTGATAAAAAAAGATCTGTATTGATTGTTGGGATTAGAAGTTTTTTGGAAATATATTTTATAGCTTGTGGGAGATAAGATTAATAATATTCAGAAAAAATTGAAAAGATTAGATGAGTAGAAAATTGTATAATATTAAAATAAGCTATAATGTTAGCGAAACGATAAGGGTTTGTAGAAATTAAAAAAGTATGTTGTAATGCATTTTTGAGATTAAAATTGGTTATATTATCATTTTTAGTAGCTTGCTTAAGAAATTGTTGAAAAAAAGTATAGAAAAAAGAAGTTTTACATTTGAAATTAGTTGGAGTATTGTTAAGTTGTATAAATTGTTGTTCTGCTTAATAAGCTAGTTCTTTAAGAAATTTGAAAGGAAATAGTTTAAATAATGTAGCAAATAATAATTAATTTGGTTCAAAGCTAGAAAAATCTAGATCAGGGTTGGTATATCTTAAAGTAGTTAGAAATTGTATAAAGGATTGTTTAAAGAAAAAGAGATTAAATTATAAAAAGTATGTAGTATTGTTAGAAAGAATATTGCAAGTAGAATTTGTACAAGTATGTAAATGGTATAAAGTAGCTTTAATTGATATATTAGTACATTCTTGTAATGAATTAATTAATGTAGATTGGTAAGAATCTGGAAGTAGTTGTTTAAGATTATTAGAAAGAAAGACAATAGTTTGAAATTTAATATAATTATAAACTTTTTGCTGATTGATATATAAAAATTGTTTTTATAAATATTATAGAATTTAGTAACCAGATATCAAGAGGTGCACAATATGTTTTAAAAGAAGGAATATGAAATGTTTGAAGAAAATATTGTGGATCAATATTGAAGGTAATATAAATATTATATTTAGAATCATATTTGATTTCTAGTAATATAGAGTTGGAATTATAGTGAGTAGTATCAAAGTCGAATAGGTTTAAGATCAAGATCAAGATAGAATTGGGTATAGTTGATAGTTTGATATTTATTATGAAGAAAGAGATATAAATGAGCAAGACTAATTGCAATATGAGCATGTTGAGAAATAGAGTATAAGAATAAAAAATAGTGTGAATGAAAGATTTTTTTATAGTTAAGACTTGTAAAAAGAATAGTAGTAAAGTTAGAAAGAATATTTTTAAGGGTAAAAAGTAAAACTCAAATTAAATATTGAAATTAAAAGATGATGTATTGGAGGTATTTTGATAAATAATATCAAAAAGAAATTGTGGCTTTTGTAGATTTATTTTTATTTTATTTTTTTTAAGCAGTCTTGTCTTTATTTATTTGAACAACTTTCTAGACTAGCAACATGTACATAATCTCTTTGAAGTTTAATATTCTAATCTAATAAGCCCAAAGCAACCCACTAAAACAACAATTAGTCTCTCTTAGGATCCAAAACTTACTAAGGATTTCGTACTAACTTGGGTACACCTCTTGATCACTGACAGGTTGTTGTTCACCATGTCAAGACTGAATTTTTTCCTTTCTAATTTTTCCCTCTTCTCAAAGGGCACGAGATAAAGGGGGCAAAAAACAAAAAGAATTTTTTCAAGAAAACGACTAAAAAAGAAAAAACAAAAGAAAAAGAAAATAAAAGGTACAGATTGTGAAAAAAGAAAAAAACAGACAGGAAGAAAAAAAGTCCTAACAGAAATGTCAGGTTGTTGTAAAAATTATATAATACTCTTCTATTTAGCTCTACTCTAAATAAAGTCCGCATTATATTTAAATCCACCTTCGGAGTAGAGTTAGCTCTGCAAGAAATTCTTAGATAATCCTCTACTTCATATCAACGTCAGTCATTATCCTACATATAGACTCATGCCTCTTGTTTACCTCCTAATTCATACCCTGCCGATAGCAGTTTACCTGAACAAATCACAACAGCAGATAATAATTTTCTATTACTTTGGAACAATATTTAACTTCATACAAACAAAGCAACTAGAGGTTGTCAACCTTGCTAGTTTATACAACTTCTACAAAATATACAATCAAATTCTATTCAAACTAAATAGTCTCATCTTCAACTGCCTCTAATAAACTGCTTCATTAATACAACCATTCTAATATCATTAACAAATTCAGTTTTTCCCTATCAACTTCTACTACATAATCTAAATATAATTGCCAATCAACTAAACTTTTAAACTACCTACTATCAAATAACCTTATTAACTATAAAACAAACAGATCAAATATTCTTAGAATTTACAGAATTAACTGAAACTAATAATACAATATTCAATTCTACTCTCATTAACTTACCATATAAATGAATTAATTTTAAAAAACTATTATTACAAATAGACTATAAAGAGATTCTTACTATAATTGATATATCTAAAAACCTTACTATTACTTCATCATCTTTACACCAACCTCAAATTAATTTACCTTTTTGAAAAATACATCTTATACAACATATTATCAAAACACCTAACTATCAAAACCATCTAACTCAATTACATAACAATATCTTGAATCTAAACACAACTGACTTACAATTTTATACTGATGCTTCTATTAAAAATCTTAAAATATCTAATATACAAACTGGCATAGGCTAAATTTGTGAAAATGACTCCTTTATTAATTTCAATGCAGCAATCCTACCTTCTTCCGATTCTACTCGTTCAGAACTAATAGCAACTATTCCCTTACTTTTTACTTTACTAATTAATTCTACACTTATTATTTATATGGATAACCTCTCAGCAATTAAAAGCTTATTAGGCTTTATATCTTATAAACTTATCCAACAAAAAAATTGGATATTATTTCTATTATCAACTCACTTCTAACAACTAAAAATATTTCTATTAACCCTATTAAAGTTAAATCAAACTCTCTTCATAACCAAGCAAATCTCTTAGCCAAACATAGCACAGCCAAACCAATTGTAGAAATTCTTTACTCATACTTTAACTTTCCTACTTACTTTCTTTGGTATCCCTTAAACTGTAATGCGGACAAATTTGCATGCTAAAATTTTTTTAAATCATTCTTATATAATTGTCTCTGATTTTACTATGATTTGCTCCTTTATTGCTAAGTCAAATAAAAATTTGCCACATGATTGA